AGCAACAATGACGATGTGAATGGTGCATGGGGTAGGTGGAATTAGGAGTGAAGGAGGATGCAAAGGATAAGGCGAATGAGGTAGAGCAGTTAGCAGAGGAGAAGGATGAGTATGGAGATGAGTGCGAGGCAAAGTCAGAAAAGTGCATTTCAATTTGCTCGGATATGTTGGCAGCCGCCAGTCTGTTGAAGGTGACAATGTCCATTCAGATACTTGGAATCTCCACTCCGCCTCACATGCTAACATACACGTACTGTAAATCATTTGTCTGTCGTCGCTGCCATCACTTTGTTATCGGTTTGCAACTGCCCTGAATGATCTCTTTATGGAGGCACTGATTACACGCCCACTTCTTAGTCAAAAAGGAGTACTTCACAACCACGCCTCTCTTTTTACACTAATCGGTAGGAACGCGTATATGTGAGGCCTACAGCGTGAATTGCCAGTGAAAATATGCATGGAAAATCACCTCCATGTGAGAAACAGATCGAAATGCATCTGTTAAGTGAATGTGCAAGCTGATTCTACCAACAAATGCATTGGATGGATGCTGTGTGAAGCCGTATGAAGACTCTAGCCACAAACAGAGACCTCAAACAGGGCTTTCTCTTATTCACGTCCTCTGCTACACAGCGTGATGCACATAAGCTAATAGTGAATACACAATACCCTCCACTACCTATGAACTGCTTGACTTCCTCCTCATGATGTGCCTTCATGCTATCGTGCCAGTGGCGATTCATTCGTTTATCAATTTATCATTGCACCCACTCTTAAGGTGTAAAAGGCAACACCTCGTCAATGACAGCAACTGCAACGAAATTGTTTACTAACAAGCATTTGCTTGCGCCAAAACCGTGATCGAGGCGTTTGAATTGTAATCTCGCTTGCCTCTCGATAGCAGAAGGGATCACCGCAGCTGTTGCGACATACGATGGATCTGGAATGCTTTCAGCCGGCTTTGGCGGTGACGGGGCGTCTCGTGTTGTCTTCAGCACCATTAGAGGAAAACGGTTATTAAGATCTAGCATCACATCATCCACAAAGCGTTATGATCGAATTTACACGGCAGCAGCAGCATCAATGACCAAGCGGATGGTGAATGGTGGATGGTGGAAGGTATAGATTGAGAAACGAAGAGCGAGGTGAATGAGACAGAGGAGTTGGAAGAGGGAGGAATGAGATTGAGGAATGAAAACACGGTTAGGCAGAAGAGTACAGTACTGATCTGCGCATTCCTGTTCGCATTTGGCACTTTGCCTTGTGTAACTATGCCTTTTGAGGCACATGGATCCTCCACTATCACTTCTGAACATAGAAGTGCTGGTGTTCCTTTGTCTGCCCTTACTAGTATGTGACTGCGACAAATGATTTCTTCTATAGAACTCTGACTGCATTCAATATTAACTTAAAAGAAGGTGCTTCGTGCCAAAGCCACCCTCTTATTCATGATGGTACAAAAGGCGTACACGAGAAACCTAAAAACCTCTCTTTTGGTAAGAATATGCATCGAAAATGACCGTCTTGTGTAGTAAATTTGTAACATTCCCCTCAATCTGAGGCAGCCTCTAATAAATTAGAGGTCGAAAAATACCCCCATTCCATTTGTGAATTCCATCGGAGAATCTGATTATTCCAAACGCAATGGCAGGCACAGGATTTTCCAAGGACAGCACCTTTCATCATCAACGAGGCGCTTGTTCTGGCTGCGTACAATTTAGCCAAGTTAGCCAAGTTGGGATATCAAAGTTTTATTGTTCTGAATTGAAATCTTTACCATTAGAAGGCAAAACATGCAGCAATTTGCGCAGAAATTTAGCACAGACTATATTTGGTGAGTCGCATCCTCCCGAAAAACTTCCACTTTTGTGGTGCTGTCAGGATTGAGCTCAGTCGGTTAATCCTCTTAAGTAATACCTCGGCAAATCTCAACATGCCTTTCTGCATTTCGGTTGTTTAAGCTGTTGTCTCAACGGTAAACGAGCAGTGCGTTGTGAGTTTTGCATTCCACGTTGCAAGGAAAGTAGCTACATTATATCTGTTTACCTTTACACTTGTAATACTCTGTCATGCATACTGTCTGCATTAAAAGCTGTACATTAAGCCGGTTAAATGAAAATGTTCTGAGGCTTAAAATTGGGAAAGATGATTCATATGTGTTAAAGAATCTAGATAAGGCATGATGGATGCGAAATTGCGGATGTAATACAAAATGGCATTAATTTGACCCAGGTATTGTCTAGCCACCAAAAGCACAAAAATTGCATAAGATTTCTTCTTAGAATTTCTTCGTGAGTAGGTGTATCACGGCTAATCGGAGTAGTGACGACGAGTATATTGTTGGCTTATCGTACATATCCACACAGATGCGACGCATTACTAGGGCAGTAGCCATTCTTTTCCCACATCGTGCAGGCACATGACTATGCACAGAATGCAGAGTCTCCTCCGTCCTTTGCCATCTGCTAGCTAGCCACGTGCACAAACAGGCCTGCTGGTTT